ACCTAGAAATATTGGAAGGCTATTATGTACTATTACCTTACCAACATGTTTTGAGGAAATCGAGGCATTTGTATCCAGTGAAATGCACTAAAGCTGAGTAAGCAATGAAAACTTGATAAGAAATATCTGTGTAATACTTAAAAGATGTTGTTGACTATAGTTCAAGTAGGTGTTTTCTTTGTTGAACCAAAATAGTGTTTTTTTTTGCAATGGTTAGATTTCCATCAAACTGTTTAAGGCAGATAAGCAATTAGAGTTATTAAATATATACTTTTTTTAAGATTGTTCTTTCAGCTGAGACTGTAGTAACCTATTATGTTGTTAGCAACTTTGGAGCATTACTCTATCATATAAATAAATTCTACCTGCTGCAATGGGTACATTTTAAAATGCCAATAGATCTTGCTTTTTTAAAAAAATGACAAGTGTTTTCTTTCCCATGAAAATCATAGAGCTAACCAAGAATGTGAAAGTTGATCCCAATGTCCTGCTAATGTCATTCTGCAACTAGCTGTAACATGTAACAGCATAATATCAGTTACAGTAACTATCCACTTTGTATTTCTTTGTAAATGTTTTTAACTTCCAGTTGATAACTTCTGAGAGGCTCCATTGGAGAATAATGCTATGTTACCTTGCAGTGCTATCACTTACAACAAACGTGCCTTTGATAGTCCTGCAATGTAAATAATGATAGTGCAGCATCCAGAGCCATTGGTTAAAGTGTCCAGAAGTGGAATTTCCTTTCTGCTTGTGGAAGCATCAAAGGGGGATACGTCAAGATAAATAGTACATTCTGCTTCTATAGACATGCTGTCAATATTTTATGGCCATTCGCAGATTGACCTCTCAGCTTAATGGTAGTCCACAAGATGCTGTTTTCATGCATGAGTCTTCATAGCCAGAAAGTAAAGATGAAATCTGTAGACTTGGAAAACAACTACAGACGTGCAAATTAGTGCCTAAAAGCTTTCAGGCGCTTCTATTTGAAGTGGCTCTCAATACTTGTCTCTCTCTTGCCCCTCCCCCGCCAAAAAAAACACATTATGTAAAATCAATAGGTGGGAACTGCAGGTGGAAATTTGATCTCCAACACACACACCAAGTTACTACACTGATACATCGTCTCACTAGCCTTCACTCAACAATGTGTCAGCCTTTAGAAGGAAATGGACTCCACCCCCATGTCTACTGCTTTCTACAAAATGTAGGATCTTTTATACATTCAATTCAGTTTGGCTTCAGTACTCCTGAAATAAACAATTTACAGGGCTAAATCCACATTATTCAAAAGATTGCTTATTGTGTGACAAACAATCAAAGATTCCCTCAGTAGTTCTTTGTGGAAGAATCTTACTCAGGGCCACAAAGATAAAAGATGGACCAATGGGTAATATTCAAACCTTGCCAAATTATTCTCAATTTAGTTTCAAGAGCAGACAGTGTAGAGTTGCATGTAAAACCCAAAACTATACAATAGAGAAATGCAAAACTGCATCATCTCTATATTTTAAAATGTGTCATTAAAACAAAATGTGTCAATAAAACAAACAATATCAATGATTAGTTGACAACAACTGATTGGTCACAATTAACACAAATGTCAATTTTTTTCACCACTATTCATTGCCTCTAAGATTACGAATTTTAAGTCTCCAAAAATGTCAAATAAAATAGCCACGCAGATATTTTGGAGTGTGTATACACAGTGGGTGGTGTACACAGAAGCCTAATATCTATGATTTCTGAAAATTTCTAAATTGTGTAATTTCAGTAACCTAATACTGTCTTGTTCATATAATCTCCTATGTCTCATAAAACAGTCAAATACTGAAGAACCCAACGCAACAGGCAGGTGATACGCAAGTGATTCAAAGTGATTGCATTAAATATTGCAAGGCAGCTCTATTTACTAATAAAATGTAAATGTGTACTACTGTATAAACAAATACTGAGAGTTAAGCTTGGTTAAATACTTCTTCCTTCCAGGACACAATTCCAGAAAATCAGTCTTAAACATCAAAGACTTCCCCTTTTTATGACTAAGGTCTATGTTTAAGCCACATTTAGCCCTTCATTTACATCTACACTTAAAAACAATTTCCAGATCTAAACCTGCACTCCACAATGCAAAACCAACAGGGATTTTGATAAGATCAATCTGCCAAGAAAATACTAAAACTCTCACCACATTTTTGAAACTCCCAACAATCAATCAATCAGTCAGTCAGAACACAGAAACAGAGATTAATTCTACATAAAAGGTTTTCAATAAAAACTGGATGCTGACAAACGTCTTTTTTTTCTTTTTCTCAGATTCTAACTGCCTGTGTCAGATGTCAAAACTCCATTATTTAAAAAGTACAGAACACCATATAGAGTTTAGTGAAATATTGTAACCATCTAACAATAGAATATGCATAATTATAAGAAATATGTTCACAATTTACACAGATTGAAATTAAACATTTATATTATTTAACTGAATGCTTACTGTATCACGTAGCAGAGAATATTTCAAATGCTTAAAATAGCAATTAGTTTTGTGAAGAAAACAATACATTGCCATTCACACAAAAGCAACAAAAAGAACTGGGCACTTTTTCTATATACACAAGCAATAAAGCAGTCTTATTTTCAGCCTGCTAAGCTGGAACACAAAAGATGGCATATTGTCTTGAGTGCTGTTTTTTATCATTAGCTGTGGCAGGCTATGGATTTATTAAAATACTTTAATTTCAGGGAAGCTGAACTATCACCAGTAATAATTACAAAAGTATGTGTTAATTCAGTTTACTTATATTGTCAGGCTCATTAACTTTACTACTTTCTCAAGCCAATTCTTCTAATAAGATTCTCAGTTCTCAATATATTTAAAACTATCAACTAACATGAATAATAAACATTTTAAACTATTTTCAACTGAATTTTAAAAGCAGTAGCAATGATAAAACGCTTCTTAGTGAATGAAAAGAAAATATTTGCTACAAGTGGAAGCTAAGCAACAAAGAGATGCAATCAGAAAGTTAGACAGATAATATGATAAAATAAAGTGGAAAAATAAGGAATATATTACAAGAAATCATTTACTCTAGGAATACATTGTAAATTTAAAAACTAGAAAGTTAGAATTAGACACAAACATGCATTAATCTACCTAAAGGATAAACAGAAGAATATTTAAAGATGTGTATGTATGAAAAATTAGGTGTGTGTACATTAAATGTAGTTATTTACGGCTGAAAAAACCAAGAAGCTATAACATTAAAGAAGCTGTATTGCAGAACTTCAAATTGGATAAATGATATAGAAAACAACTGGATAAATTATTCAGAAATAAATTGGAAATGGCTTGATATTTTCAAGATCAAGGGTACGAGGATTATAGTAAACTGAGTATATAAGTATATCTCACTCTATAGGTGTACATATAAAGCAAAGCAAACACTTTGGCATCAAACTGTATATGTTTTACAGACATTGCAGGATGTACATGTGTATTTGTTAAAAAAGAAATGCTATAATATAGAAAATGTAATGAATTTGCAGTTAGATGAGTTAAGAATTTATTAACTCTCCTAAGTATCTGACTAAAACATTCAATGGGTTACTGAAACAAAAAAAGGTAAGTATTTCATGAGTGACACATTTATAAGGTTTTCTATCAAATAACAACAAATGAGAAAAGCTTAGCATTCATTCTTATGTTGCAACTGACTTGCCAGTAGTTGCCAGGACTTATAAAAGGTCACCCGTACAATGATTTAAAGTAAATAAATGTAGTATAAATGTATAGTTGCAGATATAATTATAAACATATGAAAATGAGTTTCAAGCATTTGAAACACTTTTTTCTGTTAGGATACATTAAAAAAAAGTTTTGCTGTGCCATTTCTGCAACAGTTTTATATTTTGTTAAAGTAAGGGTAAAATATCTGAGAAAGAAGTCATTCAACTGTGATCAAGATCTTCTCCTTCAAATTTTTTTTAGTGCAAAACTGAAGTTATTCTTATAAATTCATTAAATTGATTGACTGACTGACTGACTGACTGAGGGCACTACAATAGGTGAATTATGAAACACTACTGAATATTTTTGTGGCATTTAGAAAGCTGATCAAAATATAGAAATATTGATTGGAATAATAGTTATTAACAATCTGAAAGTAAAATAAAAGACAAAAATAAAGGAGCAGCAATCAAAATGACAGTATGTCAGACCATGCTAGTTTTGAATGTTATCAACCACACATTGTGGATTAAAAAAATATCTTCCTTCAGTTCAGCTCATCTGTCTGGAAGAGATTTTACAACCTTAACAGTCTTCGGAATATTAGTGGCAGTGTACGCAAAAGTTCCAAAGTAGCCTCAGCTCTGCTCAAATACTGTTGTAAAAAAAATGCACATCCATGTAGTAAACTTTACCAGGACCATCTGCAATTAGAAAAAAAACCTCACTGCGCTTTCCCTCACATTTAAGTAATATGGAGTTGTTTGCACATTTGAGAAATAAATTCTTGTACCTAACTGCAGTTGCACAGATGCTGCATTATATATTAAACCTTTTAATTTTCAAAATTAAACCCCTCTGTGCAAGTGACCTGTCTACAGCAGGTAAATAATAAATATCTGCCAGTGTCATTACAACCACTATACATACAATGTCATCTTCGGTAAAAGGCAAATTTCGTGACCATCATAACACAGAAACATTAGTACATACCAAGCATTGTACTTCAAAAGATGTTGCATACCACAGTTTACCGGACTTCATCCTGTGTAATGTTCTCAAAGAAAATTTCCACCTTAGATAATGCAACACTGGATTAGAACTGTAGAGATAGTAGGCCTTTGTAGTGTTCAACACGCTAGCGATAAATGAGAGCTGAATGAGAGGAAAAAATCTTGAGGCCTGTAGTGGTCATCCAGCCAGTGGACCACATACACTAACAGGCATTAAGGCCACCATCCTGAAGAATTCTTAAGCATCTTGCTGCTGTTAATAATACGCCAGCGTTCTTTTTAATTTTAAAAATGTTACTTTAAATTAATTCCAAATTTGTTCTTAAAAGTAGCTCCTTAACCATCAGAGACGTGCATTCTCATGTGGTCGTTGAACTGTTCGATTTGGTCGAACTTGGCTGGGCAGACAGAGCAGACATATGTGGTCACTTCAGAGCAGCCAGTGCCATGGAGTGCCACATGCCTCTCCAGTAAGGTCTTATGGGAGAACTTCTTTTTGCAGATGTAGCACTCGTAGGACTTCTCACCACGGTGAAGCCGCATATGGACGTTGAGGGAGCTCTTTTGGGTGAAACGCTTGTTGCAGATACTGCACTGATAGGCTCTCACGCCAGTATGTGTCACCATGTGTTTAATCAGATAATCCTTCAGTGAAAAAGATCGCCAACAAATACTGCATTGATGTGGCTTCTCCCCTGTAGGAATGTGAATAACAAAAGTAAAATAGTTAATTCTTTTTAAAAGTTTCAGTTGGCATGGCAATAACATTTTGATTTGTGACAGTGTGAACTGCACCAGAATTATTTTATGTATTTTATGATGTTTACTTGTATTTAAATCATGCACAATTGTTCAAATTTATTTTAGCTGTATCGTGAATAAAACTGAGATCTTCTAAAATACTCTCTCCCATTGCAGTGGCAAGATTCTATGATGGTTCCAATGGTTTGATTAATTGCAATACACTATTATACTGATCACCATGAAAAATAGACTAATTGTAACAGTAATCCAAAATATTATGTGTATATAAAACTAAACCTAGAAAATATTGTGAGGAATGATCACCACATTTACAGGGCATTCCTTCCCAGGACTGATCAATATAATGGCACATTCAGTATGTTGCATAGGGAATTACATCAATAATTTCTCAAAGACCTACTTGAGTGTAAAAAAATGCTAATAAAGTAATCAATTCCTTTTAACAACCTTTTTGGTTGTTTTTAGTGCACTACATTTGTTTGAACTCATCATCATCAGAACTGAGTTGAAAGAGTTACATTATTTGACTTGATCAAATCCAAACATACAGTGCTTAAAACATTAATTGTAAAAAGGTGAGTTAATAGATATAATTCAGCTTTCTTGCAACAGCAGGTTTGCTAGTTTAGCACAACCAGTTCCTCAAACATGTCAACGTTCCAGGTTCCTTAGTTATTAGTAAAATAATGGAATTTGAAAATAGCCAATTTGTTGCACAGTAATGTCGACACTATTACCCTGAAAAAGTTATTTGTACAATGTTTTAGTCTACTTTACTACTTATTTTCATTTGTACCAATAATAAACATTTTTTAGATTAGTTTAAGGACTTTTAAGTAGTATTTGGGAAAATATTTACTGTTTTTTTAGAATGAATTCTCCACAAATACTCCCTTAAACTATCTTCTAAGGCACACAAACGTGGTCTAAACGACAACTATCCCTTTTGTTTTCTCTTCATTCTTGTAAAGAAGTACTTGGTATATTTGTACAGTGATGAAGCTGAAAGTGGAAACTTCAGAGAAAGGGAAATCAAACTTCTTTCTCACCACACTGTACCATAATATGACAAATGATTCAACAGGGATCTGCCTTCACCAGAGGATTTCCCAGCACTAACTTGTGTTCTGCCTCTTCTGAAACTTCAACTTTGGACAGGGATTTCAGCTGGGATCTCCTCCATTCACCAGAGGATTCAAAACAACATCAACAGCCTCTAGCAGAGCTACATGGATATGTGTCAACAAGAGCAGGGGAAATCCTAAGAGTCGTTTTGGAATCATGAGTACTGTTGGGGCAACCACAGTTTTGAGGCCAGAGGTTCCTTCTTGATTGGCAATCTTCCAACCAAGCAGTTACTTGGGATGTGTACACATACATTGTTGCCCCAAAACATTCTGAAATAATTGTGGCAGCACTATAAAAAATGCGATGACTTCAGCACCTGATAATAGAATAGTTTTAGAACAAAAGCCATGAAAGAATAACTGGATGTTTTCTCCTTGGTCATATGAGACGATAAGGAGTCTGTCTTGATTGTTGCTCTTGAAATGAATCGGTCTCATGATCTGCTAATGTCCTCCTTTGCTGGAAGAATCTAATTTGGAGGGCTTTTTAGATCTGGTTGTAGACCCAATTCTGAAGGTTGCAAGCTTATCAGGAGAAACTATCGTGTTTCAAGGTAACATCTTAAAATCACTTCAGCTACTCCCAAATAACTGTATTGAAAAAAGGGTGCATGCTTTACCTTTTTGCAAGGCTCTGTGCCAAACGGAATGCATCATATATAGTATAAATGCTAACTGCTGTCAGAAATAAAATCTCATAACTGTGAAGTTCAGTAGGGAAGGAAAACTCTATTGTTTTAAGGAAAAATAGTAAAACACGTCTAGTAAAGCTCTTTGACTAAGTTTGAACTGAGGATGCTGCTGAATTGGAACTGATCAATTCCAAACCAGAAATCAAAATGATTTCTTAAGTACTATTTATACTGATGGAACTACATCAACAAACTACTTAGAAACTTTTAAAGAAGCATTGCAGAGTACAGCCAGAATTGATTTGCAGATCTCTCGTGGTGTGAATTGATGTCCTCTTGAAACCATTCACATGGTGACCTCAGCACCTGAATTCTAGCACAATTCGCTGTAGGATTGTGCCATTCCACTCTAAAATGCGATTATGAACATAACAAGGTGTAATATGTGCCGTCCTCAAATCCTAGTGAATTTTCCATTTCCATAAGTGAAGAAATGAACGTTTGCAAGCATGGTAGATCAGCACACATTAGGCCTCAGCATGGGGAAACATACCATTAGGAGAGCAAACGTGGCAGTTGCAGCCAATAATAGGAGAAAAACTGACATGATCTTCAAAAGATTTCAAAGGGACAATGTCCTAGTAATTCTCCTCCAATGCTCAATGGATCTTTCTTAAGATATTTGGAGGGTAAAAGAATGAGGAAGAACTTTGAAGTTGTATAGTTTTCAGTTGCAGGAAACTCTAAAAGATAAACCCTTTTGATGAACAAAAATTGCTGCAGTAATAATAAATAATAATAATAATCCTTGCATTTGATATAGCGCTTTTCAAGTCTTCTAGACATTTCAAAGCACTTCACAGAATATATTGTAAAGTGAATTGACTGTATATTTTGTGGACGAAACCTGGCAGTCAATTGCACACTGCAGTGTCCCACAAAACGTCGTGGATTGAAGTAACCGATTTATTATTGTTTTTTTTTCTTGAGGGATTATTATCAGGCGTGTGGAGTAAGGAAACTTGTACAAGGTTTCACCCTGCCAGGAATCAAACCCAGATCTCTTGCTTGCAAGGCGAGTGATCGAACCACTGAGCTACAGGACTCCACAAACATTGCACGGGTGGCTTAATTTGAATAATTTCTAAAATTGTTTTAGTATAAAATATATTATGAACCCAAAATTGTTTTTTAAAAAATTGTTAGAATATAAAAAATAAGACCATGAATGAAAATACCTCTATTTTAACAATGTATATTTAGTTACTTGGCCATCAGAAGATAAAGGTTCAGCTCAAACTGCACTAAATCTCATTCATATAACTTTCAGGTCACTTACCTGTATGGACAAACATGTGTTTTACATAGTTTTGCTTTGCAGTGAAGGTTTTATTACAAAGCGTGCATTCATAGGGTTTCTTTTCAGTCTGTCCACTTGCATTCTGTACTATCTGAGATTGCTGAGGTTGCTGAGGGTGCAACTGCGCAGCAAAGTTTGCAAGGGTCGATTGAGGAACGGTTACAAATTGCGTCTGTTGGCCTGTCAGTGGTTGTGGCAAAGTGAACTGAAACAGTTTACCACTGGTAGTGCTCTGAGTGGTGAAAAGCGTTGGTACGTAAGTGTTTCCAGCCGTACCAATGACTGGAGTAGTGCTGGTCAAGGTCAGTGGCATTCTCAAGTTGGTGGTGAGTGTATCTGACTGCCTTAGGTAAAGCTGAGTAGTTGCCAGTGGCTGGGTGTTGTGTGCCACGGAAATCACAGTGTTCACTGGAGCTTGCTGCAATTCTTTTTCATTTGCAATGTTTAATTCACTGCTTTGAGGCCCTGTGGTGCCCATTTCAGTTTCATAAGTCCTCTCTGGAGAAGGATTCATTTTGCTGAGCTGCTGACTGTCTTCAGCAGAAATCTCATTCTGCTCAGCTTGTCTGACATCTGATTGCCCCCCTCTGCTCAAACCGGCAATGAACTGTTGGTCTATAGGATCAGGTTCAGTCCCATTAGAAGAGCTGACACCAGAGTCAAAGCTCTCTCCTTTTGGCTCACTTTCAGTACCTTCAGCTTGGTCAGTGTCTTCATTGCATTCTTCTGACTCATTTTGTTCTGATGTTTGTCCTTTTTGCTGTCCGTAGTAATCATAATCATCTTCTGCTTCTTGCTTGACGTGAACATTGCCTGCTATGGTTTGAATGCGAACCGGTCGTGGCTGCTTGCGGCAGTGTGTGGTTTCTGGCGTAGATAGGTATCTCTCCATCTGCTGTGTGCGTTCATGAATTCTAGTTATCCAGGCCGGATCCTCCACATTCTCGCTTCTCTGTAAAACCAGTGGACCGCCATGATGGCTGACCACTGGTCCACTATAAAGTGATCGCTCTCCAGTGCCATTTTGTAGCGACATTCCAGAACAGGCATAAAGGGATGAATAGATTCTTTCAACACTACGTTGGGAATGGGCTTGTACATAGCCAGATTCTGTATCACTGCTCTGTCCTGATGAACCAGATTCTGGTGTTCCACGTGGTGTCACTTGACTTGAGTTCCTTGTTGTTGGATAACCACTGCTCACTACTGTCTGTGAAACAATGCGGGTGCATTCATCGATGACTGTTTTAATCTGCAATATGCTGGCTGCTGTGAGGATCTGTAAAGCTTCACTTTGGGACACCCTTAGTACCCCACTATACATGAAGTCAATCAACTTCTGAACAGACTGCACTGAAACTACAGATGGAATCTCAATGTCACTGTAGCCCAAGAGCAGTTTGTCCTGGAAGAAGGGGCTGCCAGCAGCCAACACACAGCGGTGAGCCCTGAGCATGCTCCCGTGAATTCTGACAGTCACATCACAGAAGTGTCCACGGTTTCGTTGCTCATTTAGTGTCTCGAGCACTGAGTTACTGAAGTTGTGAAGGTTGATGCTGTGAATGCGCTCTGTCATTCCTTTCCCACTGATGTTACCTAGTTTTGAAATAAAAAAATATTTTTTATAAATGCTATCTGATTAACCAAATAGATAATATATTATTTTTGAGTTACAAATCATCACATAATTGCATTCACTGAAAGCAAAAATGGCGCTACCACACTCAAAATATTGAAATACTAATGATTTATTTTCTTATAGTGTTATGGAATAAGTTACCAGAGAAGGCCATTACACCAGATACTATAAATGTTAAGAGGTTTAAGAAGCAATTAGATAAATAACTGAAAAACGATTGAACGTCATAGTGAGAAGGTGGGAAGAAATGGACAACATTGGTGAGATGCCGACTGCACAATACAATACAAAATTACATGTGTATAAAGCCTTTCTGTTGGGAGGGCGTCCCAAGGCGCTGGACAGTCAGGGATTTGGACTCGAGCTGGGGGTCGGGATCGGGAGGGTGGAAGGGCAGGGAGGGTAGGAGGGTGACCAAAGGCTAGGTTGAAGAGGAGGGTTTTGAGATGCGCCTTACTGAGTACTGAGGACTTGCCTAGCTCAGGAACTGGACTACTGAGCCTACCACAGAGGATTTAAAATTTGTGGTTTAAATCAGTCATTGATTATCGACTGGTTGTTGCTGTCTGGGCTGCCTGGGAGTGTAGCATTTCAGTGCCACTTCACAGGATACCAGCCTAACTTTGACTGAAGTCAGTTAATAATTATTTCTGATTTGGACCATAAAAGTCAATAATTAAAATTACTATACAATCACTTCAATATTACCAGAATTTAATTTGCAACTTATTGTGGCAAACAACATTCCAGTATAGATTTAAATAAAAACTATTACAATGGCAGAAGTCTCTCACCACCGCAGATGTAAGTTGCCACCATCTTGAAAATCTCCTTGTGTGAAGAAAGGAATTCATGGGCCATCTTGTTTCATATAACTGAACATATTACTGCAATGAGTCACAGAGCTAAGAAGCATGACTGAATATAAAGACAAAAGAAAACAAGCTATAACAATGGGAATTCCAGACAATTTCCAAATTTAAAATACATTTGTCCAGCAAGTTTTGTACATTAGTCGAGAACTCTGTTTTGTCAATATTCTACATTTAGAAACAATAAGATGATTCCTCAAGTGTAGATCTACTATTTATGGTAGGGTAGCTCATCTCAGCATTGGTTTGTCCAATTCAGTGGACAAAGTTGCCTGCCAATATTGATACATTTACCCAAGATCAGAGAATTATCTCTAATATTTTTATATAAAATTGAGAGAATCACCCTTTTGCTTTCAATCAAAAAACAATATCATGCTTGAGAGAAAACCACCATAGCTCGGTGACTGGATATATTCTATATTAGGCTGCAACAGCCCATGAATTACATTCACCAACATCACTATGCAGATGGTAAAGATGGTGGCCAAAAGCTAGGATGGGGGACAGGTATGAGAGCCCTGACAGAAGTTAATACCATGGCAAATAATATATATATATTTTAATGTGTGTAGGACAACATTTTATGCTGCTACTTTACACAAAATCTAATAAACAGAATATATAGCACTTTTTTGTGAAACTAGGGATACAACATTCAGTATGATAAGAGAATATTAACATTCATTAAGAATGTCCTAAACTTAAAAAACTGAATTTCTACACACAAATAATTTCTGAATCATTTACTAAACCTTTCTTTTAATATTACAGTGAACATTAACACTAAAACATTTAAAATTATAAGCAGCTCAATCACAGAACACTCCAGAAAATCTGCATCAGTTTATTTTTTGATTCATTCCATTGAGATGAACTATGTCAGATTTAAAACAAATGATTGGGGGAAAATGACTAACGTTTAAATTTGTTAGTATAAGATCTAAAAGATTAAGCACTGAATACTGTAATTAAATGATAGAGTACACTAGAAAGACACTGTCTTCATGAAAAAGTTAGTTTTTTTCATATTTCCACACGTAAAGAATGATGTAAATTGTTCCAAATTCATCATTACATAATTTCCTGCAATGTTGTAATTAAACTATTTTCTGTCTCTTCGTCCCAAATAATAAAAAGGCTTATCAAATACATCTCTGTGGCAATAGTGTCCTTTCCAAAAACTTTAATTGAGCCATTTAGATGAAAGTCTAGGCTCTGTAGTGGATTAAGGCCAAAAAGTGTAGGCAAGAAATATGATATAACCAAGAAGTCACCAGCAACAGGTTTCAAAAGGTTAATAGAAAAAAGGGAATGGGAAATTGATGAAGGTAAGACTTTCCATATAGATCTGATATCCTGGAAAGCAAATGTAAGAATAATAATCCTTGCATTTGATATAATGCCTATAATATCTAGATATCTCCAAAAACTGGTCACTGTTATCAAGTGTAGTGATTTGTGTATTCCTAGAATGACCTGAGTATGAGGAAGTGAGTAAGAGCCTTGTTGCCTTAAACTGCCTCATATCACTGAGTGAAGCAACATTAGTAATGTGTGCTGTGGGGGGCAGTTTCCTTGTTAAAGCTGTAATCTTATTTGGAGTGGGATTGAGGTTAGTGTACTCACGTCGCAAGTGAGAGGACTCGGGTTCGATTACTGGGTGGGGCGAAACTTTAGGTTTTCTTATTCCACACATATCTGTTTACCGAGCAGTGAGTAGTTGGTTTATTAGTTGATTATTGATTGTTAGTTGATTGGCGGATCTCAATGATGTGATAAGGCACTACATCAAATGCAAGGATTTTGTATTATTATTTTAATGTCTGGCATTGTTCCAGCTGTAAAATAGTCTTCAAAATATTTGATAACTTGTTCCTGGATATCAGTGGTATTACTATCTCCCTTGACTAATTTTTGACAAATCTCCCTCATAATAATAATAATAATCCTTACATTTGATATAGCGCTTTTCACGTCGCGAGGACGTCCTAAAGCGCTTCACAGAACACACTGTAAAGTGAATTGACTGTATATTTGTGGGCGAATGGCCTTTAACAGGGCAGTTATGGGAATCCTATTACCGAAAGGTAATTATTGAAAGAGTCCAGTGTAGGTTCACAAAAATGAAACCATGGTTGAGGGATTATAGTATGAAGCTGGCTTAAAAAACTGTGTCTGTTTTTACTGGAATAGAGACAGTTAAAAGGGGATCCAATAGAAGTTTTCAAAATTCTAAAAGCTTTTGCGAGGATAAATGAAGATAATTTCTGCTACTTGGAAAATTGGTAACAAAAGTGCATGAAATCAGGATTAGAAGAGTTGAAGAACAAGTTCAAATGAACTTCTTCACACAAAAGGTTATTGGAACTTGAAATGCTTTGACATAAGCAGTTACTGAAGCTGGAGCCAAAACAACATTGAAAAGAAAATTGGATAAACATTTAAAGAGAAATAAAATGAAAGGGTACAATGAAAGAACATGGGATTGGGATTAGAGTACTTAGATACTTAGATAAAAATACAAGGATTTTTGGCCTTAATCCTAGTCAGCATTAGGTTAGGATTAACTTCCTTCTCATATACTATAATTTCTATGATTTTATGATAATACCTTAACACTTTAATTAGAGTTCCAGCATAGCTTTTCCAATTGTGTCTCAGGGTACTGATGGGATCCTTTAGTGATGGGCTGTCAGCATGTTGCCTCCATTAGTTTACAATCAATGATTTGGGGGTTATTACGTTAAAGATTACCCATTTTTAATGACATAATAATAATAATAATCCTTGCATTTGATATAGCGCTTTTCACGTCGGGAGGACGTCCCAAAGCGCTTCACAGAACACACTGTAAAGTGAATTGACTATATATTTGTGGGCGAACGCGGCAGCCAATTGCGCACAGCAATGTCCCACAAACAGTCGTAGATTGAAAATGACCAATTTATTATTGTTTTTTGGTTTTTGGAGGGATTATTATTAGGCGTGTGGAGTAAGGAAACTTGCCCACGGTTTCGCCCTGCCTGGAATTGAACTCAGGTCTTTCACTTGCAAAGCGAGTGCTCTAACCACTGAGTTACAGGACTCCACGACATGTCAACACAATGAAAATACAGGGAGGACAAAGAATGTGTAGGGCATATTTTTGGAGATTGGAGGAAAAGAGGTGGGAAAATAGTTCTGTAGACAAGAGAGAGGAAGATGAAAAAGATTATGATATAAAAGAGAGTAGACTGGAGATGAAATAAGGATCATCTTGTTTTCTGTCCAATGGTGCAAGAAAAGCAGAAGAACATTTACTTAAATATACATAATGGTCAAAACAGACTTCAGGTACATAAAGGGTTAGGCAAAAATTGCTGTAATAATAAAAATATAGAAGAGTTAATTAAACTTCTCGGGGGCACCTTTAGGATGAAGGTGAGGATTCCATTTGCAATTTGAGGACACTGTAAAGTCAAGAGTGTCAAAAGAATAAGAAAGATTAAGAGGCTAGCCACCAAAATCAAGAGTGCAGCTGTTGATTGAATGAAAAAAACAACTTCCTTCAAAGAGTTTAAAGAAATAAGATTTGTATTGCCTCATTGAATGGAATGAAGGTCAAGGATTCAACCATTACATCGAAAAACAGTTATGCATACCAATGGTGAGCAATCTGAAAGAAGTTGATGAATCTAGAGTAACATTATCAGTAAAAAAAGCGGAGAGAGTTGTATGTTGAGCAGAAGTCAATGATGTGGAGAGCAAAGTGGGATACAAAATTATCCCAATTCTTGGAAAGAGTCAATGGATGAACCATTAACTGGTTCATCCATTGACATTAACTGGAGAGCATTTTGAAAGGAAACTAGATAGTTATGTATCTAGTTGATGCTTTATTTAGAAGTGCACCGGTCATGATAAATTGTCTAAGTGAGAAATGAATCATCAAATTATTCAAAATCAGATGGTAATCTTCAACTGGCTCAGGTTACCAGGAAGGATGGCTGAGGTCAGAATACTGAACTCATTTAACAATCAGTTTGGTCCTGTAATCGGAAGACAGTAAAGTAGATATTTGTGAGAAGGATGAGATTAAATTGAGTGAAGGGTCTTCTTCATCCAAAGTATGGATATAAATGTAAAGCAGGAAGGCAGTTTAAAGGGCTTGGAAAGATCACCTTCCTTATGGATAGGATGAGCATGTACAATTTTTCAAGATGGTTGAGACAAAGATGAAAAGGCAAGGAACAAGGGCAGGTTCCAATGTACATCCTGAGGAAGCCAAGGAGAGAGAAATGAAGACTAGAAAGAAACCTTATGTGAACAGAGTGCACGACAAAAAATGCACATTGAATTTCTTCTTGGGATGTAACTTAGGCAATAAAGCACTCCCTTCCCAGGAAGTGGACCTGGATTGCACCATTGAGGCAAAGTGAATTTTATCATAAATCCTAATCCTTTAGAGGACTGTTGGGGGTTTGATGACCTTGTTTCTAAATTTATTTGAGATCCCTTGTTGTACTGACACTAAGCTTTGCTTAGAGCTGCAAGAGAAGCTACCCTGCTCCGTCTGCTAATTATTGTTTATTTATTATTGCTTACTTATTTTTGAATATTTGTTATGCAGGGTTGATATGCCAAAGAGAGGCCAAATCTGCACTTTCATAGCCCAGAAATTATGTTGTCTTGATTAGCATCTTAAACACGAAACCTTGGGCCTGAGTACAAAAAACAATTAAATTGTGCTCTTTATAAATGGGTCCTCTGTATGTATATTTTGACAAGTATTTCTGAAAATGTTGTCAGGCTATAGAGTAATGAAGGATAATCCCATTATAACATTCCTCATTATTGTGTGAGTTTAGTTGTACATTGGACCTGTGAAAGTGGTTGATAACATTTTTGTGCACTCAGTGCATAGGAATTAACGCATAAGAAGTGACATTAGACATGGACATTTTGACTTTCTGCCCTGTTTTTATGCAATCTTT